CAAGAGAACAGCTCACAGAGCAACTCATTCAGAAACTTTGGATTATATCCCTTCCTGCAAGAAATCTCTTTGGATTATCCCTCTCGCAACAGGTAGGCATTCTTTCCAAACATTATATTTAAATACTACATTCCAGCAAATAATATAGCATTTGCCTTTAAATCCTGCAACTCTGTACAAATTGAATGTCATTTGTGACTTCAGCAGGAATTTTCCATGCACTTTGCTAATAAATGCAGAATTTTCCATGGGCATGGAAATTTTAAATTAAACTGCTTAGCCTACTTATTGGCATTGGACAGATAGTGAAGGAATTTATGGCTTAGCATTTTTTTTTTTTTTTTTGCATGGTGCAGAGTCCTCCACAAGTGCCCCCAGCTGATGTTTTGGAAGTACTTCTAGATTTGTGTGTTTGTTTAGCTGATAAAAATGGAAAGCAAACACAGATTAGAATGAGGACGGGGCTAAAAAACTTCTGCAAGTTGGAGAGATGATTTCAAGCTGTGCATACAACTCTTGACAACCCCTCTAAATAGCTCATTTTTGTATTTTCTCCTCCAGGAAACGGTCCAGAATGGAGTTGGCTTACACCATCGTGCTCCTCATAAGCTATCTGACCTTCCTTGGCTCCGTCATGGCAAGATTGGAAGTCAGTCTAGGAGACAAAAAAAAGTAAGTTTACGGAACACTTAAAAAAAAAAAAAAAGTTTACAAAGACTGTTGTATGAAACATGTACTTTTTGTATCAGAACTCTAAACCTGCTTTTGTGCACTTGTAGGTGGAATCTAATTTAGGATGAATCGAATAAAGAGAGACTTGATGGCACAGCTACAAAATGATGCAATGATTGAAGGTTCTTTTGTCAGAACAGAAGACACTAAGGATTCTATGGTGCCTCAAAGCAGGTAAATGTCCATAGCAATATATTTTCATATTTTTTGGGGGGTTATTTTTTTCTTGGGAAGGAAACTAGGTTTGTGCTAGCTTTTGATGTCACCAATATATATTGTAAATTGATATACAACAACATATATGATATCAGGTGACTCTAGATCCTTTTTAACACAGGGGACCCTTGAAATAACTTCCCAGGCTAAAAGAACCCAAGATAATAATTACTATATCTTCAGCTCATTGTACCATAGTGTGATGCTCACTTGGATGGTGGTCATTGGTAAAAAAAATCCCCCTTACAAATAGCTAAAATGGTTAATTTATTCTTGGAAGGAAACTAAGTTTGTGATAGCTTTTGATGTCACCAATATATGATATCAGGTGACTCTAGATCAACCTTCCGCAACCTTTTTAACATAGAGGAACCCTTGAAAAAACTTTCCAGGCTAAAGGAACCCAAGATGATAATTACTATATCTACAGCTCATGGCACCATAGTGTGATGCTCACTTGGATGGTGGTCACTGGGGAAAAAAATCCCCCTAACAAATAGCTAAAATGATCATTGGTGTCAGTGGTTACTCATTTGAGAGGTAGAAGTTGATCATTGCTCAAGTAACTCTTAGAAACCTCTGCAGGAACCTAAAGGTTCTACAGAACCTTGGTTGGGAATGCCTGCTCTAGATGGAGAAACAAACATTACATCCTATAAACATAAAAATTATTATAAGTAAGCCAAAATTTTCCCAAAGTATTATTTCTTTAAGAATGAGCATGCATTTGTAGATAACAGGTGTTGAAGATTTATTTTAGACATTTAATAATTAAAAACAACTGAGAAGCTACAAATACCTGCAAACACTTTTCTTGTGCTTGTTGTTCCTCAGTATCTGGATGATCAAAGTTTAGTCTGACTGAAAATGTAAACAGTGACAACCATTTATCTAATGATGTTCTTTTTTCTCTTTCCAACCAGCAATGGCGCCCATATCCGCGTGAAGAGATACCGTCACAGCTTCAGCAATTACCCTCAGATTTCCTACAGGGGTTGCAAATTTGGCACTTGCATCGTTCACAACTTGGCCAACCAGATCTACCAGTACACACTGACAAGGACAAGGACAGCACAGCACCAGCCAGAAAAATCAGCTCCCAGGGCTATGGCCGCAGAGAGAAGGTCTGTTCCTGAGAGAAGGCTTCTTCTGCCTGTAGTTGATGGTAAAATCCAACCATGGTGGATCAGCACCAGAAGTACAAAGGGCAAAACCCAGCAGCCCTTGGACATTAACGTAGCATCTATGCAGCAAGAAAGCAGCATATTAAAGACCAAAGACAAACTGTTCCAGACCTTGTTGAGGACTTAAATTAAGAACTAAACTAGTGGAGATGTTGTTTTTGAAAAAAAATGAAGGTGAAAGCTAAGGCTCTCCTTTCTGTGGTCCATGGAATTCCTCGTTACCAGCTCAGTGAACCTTTAGAAAGGATTGGGAAGAGGATAGCAGGAGCCGACCATGGCTGATGAAGTATTGTAGTAAACCAGGAGGTCAGAATGTGGTCTTCAAGGTTTTGTGATGCAAAGTTGAGAAGACTGTGAAGTTTTCTTGGCCAATGTAGGATGTACAATTTTGCACTTGTAAGGACCTTTGCATAAGTGAGCACTGATAGACCATACCAAAAAAAAAAAATCTTATGGGGTTATTGTGAACTTGAAAGCTTTCTGGTTGACCAGGTTCATTCATGGAGATGTTGAAGCAATAGCGAGTCACTCATTTGACCCTTCTCTTTTGGGTCTAAAGCTGGAAAAGGTGCTGCAAAGATTTTCTTGGATGCGTCTTGGAAAGAATTGACCTCAGCAAGGGACAGGCGAGTCCCAAATGTCAATGACTTCTGATTGTTGGAGAAGCATGCAACTGCCCCAAGTTAACGGCTTCCCTGGCAACAAAGGTTTAACTGCCTGAGAAAAACTTTCCCTTTTCCCATTTACTGCCCTGTCACTGCCAACAGACTTGTTACAGAGACTCTATAACTCCCATATAAAGACAATCTACTATTTGAAACTTTTATTTCCCTGGTTCCTTGTGAACTAAACCTAATACTTGAACCTAAAGTGCAATCTACATTATTTTTTATATTTGTCTACGTTAAAGTCGACTATCTTTATTTAATTACTACTGTTCGTGTTTGTATTGTTCAAAGTGAAAGTTATTTTTTTACCTGAATATTATAAATATATAAATATATATATATATATATATATAAATAAGGGCATTGCATCTATTTTATGAAGATATTGTTCAATGTGATCTGTATTTTTCATTCCTGTTTTTATGAAGAGTTATTATATGTTACATTTTATTACACCTGCCAATAGGTTACATTGAACTATAATAAAATCCAAAAATTCACCTGAATTTTCTGTTTCGTTGTTATTTACTTTATTACACGTTACATTGGGGATCGTACTTTGCACGGTTCTTTTAAATGTTTTATGGTGAACGAAATATACCGCCACCTGTTTTCTGGAAAATATAAGTCAAATGTGGAGATAATGAATCCAGCATTCGGGACGCCATGCGTGGAATGTCTACTTTCTTCTCTTTCACTGTTCTGGCAGAGTTCCTAGACTATAAAACATAACGTTAGTTTAGTTTGAAGATGAGGGACAGATTATTGATACAAGAGCCGACCTCATTTTTTATTCTGCGGTGATGTTTCCAACCAATGTCTCCTCTACCTATATAAAACATTATATTCATCATATATTCATATGTCTCCTCTACCTATATACAAACATTATATTCATCATATAGTCACATGTCTCCTCTACTTATATAAAACATTATATTCATCATATAGTCACATGTCTCCTCTACCTATATAAACAATTATATTCATGTCTCCTCTACATATACAAACATTATATTCATCATATATTCATATGTCTCCTCTACTTATATAAAACATTATATTCATCATTTATTCGTATGTCTCCTCTCTATATAAACATTATATTCATGTACCTTATATATAACATTATATCATCATATATTCATGTCTCCTCTACCTATATAAAACATTATATTCATCATATATTCATATGTCTCCTCTACACATACAAACATTATATTCATCGTATATTCATGTCTCCTATACATTATATTCATCATATATTCGTATGTCTCCTCTACCTATAAAAAAACATTATATTCATCATATATTCATATGTCTCCTCTACCTATATAAATATTATATTCATCCTATATTCATGTCTCCTCTACCTATATATACATTAAATTCATCATATATTCATATGTCTCCTCTACCTATATAAAACATTATATTCATCATATATTCATGTCTCCTCTACCTATATATACATTATATTCATCATATATTCATATGTCTCCTCTACCTATATAAAACATTATATTCATCATATAGTCACATGTCTCCTCTACCTATATAAAACATTATATTCATCATATATTCATATGTCTCTCTACATATATAAACATTATATTCATCATATATTCATATGTCTCCTCTACATATATAAAATATTATTATTCATCATATATTCATGTCTCCTCTACCTATATATACATTATATTCATCATATATTCATATGTCTCCTCTACCTATATAAAACATTATATTCATCATATAGTCACATGTCTCCTCTACCTATATAAAACATTATATTCATCATATATTCATATGTCTCGTCTACATATATAAACATTTATATTCATCATATATTCATATGTCTCCTCTACATATATAAAACATTATGGGGGAGATTTACTAAAACTGGAGCACTCAGAATCTGGTGCATAGCAGCCAATCAGCTTAGTCTGAAGACGAGGGACAAATTATTGATACATATTCTGCGGTGATGCTTTCAATGTCTCCTCTACATATATAAGCACTTCAGTATGTTCATCATATATTCATATGTCTCCTCTACCTATATAAACATTATATTCATCATATATTCATATGTCTCCTCTACCATAAATAAAACATTATGAGGGATATTTACTCAAAGTGGAGCACTCAGAATCTGGGGCATAATAGCCAATCAGCTTCTAACTTCAGCTTGTTTGGCAATAAAACCTGGAAGCTGATTGGTTTCTATGCAGAGCTGCACTAGATTTTGCGCTCTCCAGTTTTAGTGAATAACCCCCTATATTTATCTTTTCAAGCAACATAAATAAATTGAAAGAATTTGGTTTTTCTCAAACCTGGTTGGAATTATGGAAATCACAGACCAAATATCTAAAATTAAACATAAAAGTACAAAGCAAAATGTACAGTCCAATGTACATACCAGGGGCGGACCGACCATTTGGGCACCTGGGCACTGCCTGAGGGCCGGGGGTCAGTAGGGGGCCCCATGAGATGCCCCTGGTACCTTTCATAAGCTTTTTTGGGTGTGGTTTGAGTGTGGGCAAGGACACGGGGGCCCCATGATTTCCTATTGCCCGGGGGCCCCATGAGTTGTCAGTCTGCCCCTGGTACTTACTGTAACCACATGCCTACATGGCCAGTTAGAACGGGAGCCAGATAACTGGTCGATATGTTTTTTGGATTGCGGGATGAACCTGAAGCACCTAAAGGGTACACAAAAACACATGCTATACTCTATTGGGGCATCTTTGCTGGACCAACATACTACCAATATACAACCAATTGAAAATAGTATGGTATGGTATAGGTTTGAAAATCTTTGCAAGAAAAAAAAAAAAGGGAAAAAAGTATTAAAACAAACACAAATGAGTACTATGTTTCATCTACACACCACATGCTGCTCTGGACAGCTACTGCTCACTCATTTATAGCCATACAAGTCTTTTTATTGCTGCAGAGCGCCCCCTACTGCCCTTGATAAATACTTTCCATTACAATGCAATGTCATTCCTTTCAGTAGTATTACTCTACGCGTGCAGAAGAGACCAGCGCTCTTGCAATTTAAATCTGCTAATTTGAAAGGAACATAGGGTATCACTTTCCTGCTCCTAGTTCCAAGATGTGGTCACATGCCTGATGAAGGGGTCCTGCGAGACTCCGAAACGTTGCCTTGCTGTAACTGTGTGATGGTTCATTAAAACTTTTGGACCCATATTGGTGATCCTCGATGTGCTGGCTGATTTTGTTTGGTTCTACCCGACGGTCGCTGCAGCACCCACTTATACACACCGCCATTTTTAACGTAGGAATGTGTGCATTTGGATTGTACACTAGCGACAGGAATTATGCCCCATTGTTAGTGTCAGTGGACGGAATAGTGCCCCAAGGGCCGGATAAAGGCAAGCAAAGGGCCACATCCAGCCCCTGGGCAACAGTTTGGAGACCACTAACCTAAAGCATATCTATGGTCCAATGTAGAAATGCATTTATCTCCACTTTGTATTCCAATTATTTTTAGCCTACCCCTATTAATCTGAATGATCTTGAAGTTTGCAAACTTACTTTATGAAGATCCCCACACATCTAGTTCCTTGAATTCTGTGACACGTAGTCACTATGTCCTGTGGGTAGGCACTGCTGTGTCACACATTTCACAGAGCCTGCCTTCTGAGAGAGGAGGAGTTTCATGGGGCGGAGCCAGCACAGGAGTCGATACTTGCAGGCAGCATGGTACCAGGGGATATGTAGTCCTTAGAAATGGAGGCGAAGCTGCAAAGCATGCTGGGAATCTAGGACGATGTGCAAAGAGGCAGCCAGCAGACAGGCAGCACTCACAACATGAAAGGAGATTTTGGAAGTAAGCTTCTACTCAACTGTTGAATATAACAATGCGTTGCCACCCTATAACAGGAAGTGCCTGAACAATGACCCTCATGGCAGGATCATCAGGCCATTTTAATGAAAGTGGCAGGTTTAAGAATACTGAAAGTGACTTTTTCACATGTAAAAGTTTATATGAGATTTTAGCGATTCGATTTATAACGACAGGACAGCAGTGGAAGCCCCTTATTTCTCTCAGCACAAATGTTTCTAAGATAGACATTCATCAGACCAAAAACAAGTCCTACTGAATTTTATCACCCGATAATAAAGTCTGCATATTAATTAGAGATGTCTGAAGTTCTGTGACGGAGGCCCATGCCAGCAGTAAACATGGCTGTGTTGCGTTCCGTGGTTTTGGGCTCTCTGCAGATAAAACCCGAATTCACATAAACAGCGACGTGTATGGCTCTTCCAGCATTTTCCATAGTTATCCTATTTATCCTGGATTCTTCTGTCCAAGAGTAAAGATTGTGCAATCAGCACTAAACATTTTTTTTTCTTTTATGGCTCATTACAATGCTCTTCAATCTGGAATGCTGGAACCTGTTTAGAGATGCAATCATCCAAAAGT